GAAAGCCCTGCCTCCCGCTGTTTGCTTAGAAATTCTAGGGACAATTAGGAGGCCTGCGTCTTGTGACCGTAGCGTACGTATTGGTATGTACGGCAGGACCAACTCGGAAAGATAGGTAGGAGCAAGCCCATGTAACGCTTTATAGGTTAACAGTAAAACCTTGAAATCAGCCCTTGCCTTAACAGGAAGCCAGTGTAGGGAAGCTAGCACTGGAGTAATATGATCAAATTTCTTGGTTCTAGTCAGGATTCTAGCAGCCGTATTTAGCACTAACTGAAGTTTATTTAGTGCTTTATCCGGGTTGCCGGAAAATAGAGCATTGCAGTAGTCTAACCTAGAAGTAACAAATGCATGGATTAATTTTTCTGCATCATTTTTGGACAGAAAATTTCTGATTTTTGCAATGTTACGTAGATGGAAAAAAGCTGTCCTTGAAACAGTCTTGATATGTTCGTCAAAAGAGAGATCAGGGTCAAGAGTAACGCCGAGGTCCTTCACAGTTTTATTTGAGACGACTTTACAACCATCAAGATGAATTGTCAGATTTAACAGAAGATCTCTTTGTTTCTTGGGACCTAGAACAAGCATCTCTGTTTTGTCCGAGTTTAAAAGTAAAAAGTTTTCAGCCATCCACTTCCTTATGTCTGAAACACAGGCTTCTAGCGAGGGCAATTTTGGGGCTTCACCATGTTTCATTGAAATGTACAGCTGTGTGTCATCCGCATAGCAGTGAAAGTTAACATTATGTTTTCGAATAACATCCCCAAGAGGTAAAATATATAGTGAAAACAATAGTGGTCCTAAAACGGAACCTTGAGGAACACCGAAATGTACAGTTGATTTGTCGGAGGACAGACCATTCACAGAGACAAACTGATATATTTCCGACAGGTAAGATCTAAACCAGGCCAGAACTTGTCCGTGTAGACCAATTTGGGTTTCCAGTCTCTCCAAAAGAATGTGGTGATCGATGGTGTCAAAGGCAGCACTAAGGTCTAGTAGCACGAGGACAGATGCAGAGCTCGGTCTGACGCCATTAAAAGGTCATTTACCACCTTCACAAGTGCAGTCTCAGTGCTATGATGGGGTCTAAAACCAGACTGAAGCATTTCGTATACATTGTTTGTCTTCAGAAAGGCAGTGAGTTGCTGCGCAACAGCTTTTTCTAAAATTTTTGAGAGGAATGGAAGATTCGATATAGGCCGATAGTTTTTTATATTTTCCGGGTCAAGGTTTGGCTTTTTCAAGAGAGGCTTTATCACTGCCACTTTTAGTGAGTTTGGTACACATCCGGTGGATAGAGAGCTGTTTATTATGTTCAACATAGGAGGGCCAAGCACAGGAAGCAGCTCCTTCAGCAGTTTAGTAGGAATAGGATCCAGTATGCAGCTTGAAGGTTTAGAGGCCATGATTATTTTCATCATTGTGTCAAGAGATATAGTACTAAAACACTTAAGTGTCTCTCCCGATCCCAGGCCCTCGCAGAGCTGTGCAGATCCAGGACAGCTAAGCCCTGGAGGAATACGCAGATTCAAAGAGGAGTCCGTAATTTGCTTTCTAATGGTCATGATCTTTTCCTCAAAGAAGTTCATGAATTTATTACTGCTGAAGTGAAAGCCATCCTCTCTTGGGGAATGCTGCTTTTTAGTTAGCTTTGCAACAGTATCAAAAATAAATTTTGGATTATTCTTATTTTCCTCGATTAAGTTGGAAAAGTAGGATGATCGAGCAGCAGTGAGGGCTCTTCGGTACTGCACGGTACTGTCTTTCCAAGCTAGTCGGAAGACTTCCAGTTTGGTGTGGCGCCATTTCCGTTCCAATTTCCTGGAAGCTTGCTTCAAAGCTCGGGTATTTTCTGTATACCAGGGAGCTAGTTTCTTCTGACAAATGTTTTTCGTTTTTAGGGGTGCAACTGCATCTAGGGTATTGCGCAAGGTTAAATTGAGTTCCTCAGTTAAGTGGTTAACTGATTTTTGTCCTCTGACGTCCTTGGGTAGGCAGAAGGAGTCTGGAAGGGCATCAAGGAATTTTTGTGTTGTCTGAGAATTTATAGCACGACTTTTGATGCTCCTTGGTTGGGGTCTGAGCAGATTATTTGTTGCGATTGCAAACGTAATAAAATGGTGGTCCGATAGTCCAGGATTTTGTGGAAAAACATTAAGATCTACAACATTTATTCCATCTACAACATTTATTATCCAGAGCGACTTACAGTTAGTGAATACATATTTTTTTATACTGGCCCCCCGTGGGAATCGAACCCACAACCCTGGCGTTGCAAACGCCATGCTCTATCAACTGAGCTACATCCCTGCCGGCCATTCCCTCCCCTACCCTGGACAACGCTGGGCCAATTGTGCACCGCCCATGTGTCTCCCGGTCGCGGCCGGCTGCGACAGAGCCTGGATTCGAACCAGGATCTCTAGTGGCACAGTTAGCACTGCGATGCAGTGCCTTAGACCACTGCGCCACTCAGGAGATATATACACACTGCTCTTTCAAACAACACTATATATACACACTGCTCTTTCAAACTACACTATATATACACACACTGCTCTCTTTCAAACTACACTATATACACACTGCTCTTTCAAACAACACTATATATACACACTGCTCTTTCAACCTACACTATATATACACACTGCTCTTTCAAACAACACTATATATACACACTGCTCTTTCAAACTACACTATATATACACACTGCTCTTTCAAACAACACTATATATACACACTGCTCTCTTTCAAACTACACTATACACACTGCTCTCTTTCAAACTACACTATATACACACTGCTCTCTTTCAAACTACACTATATATACACACTGCTCTCTTTCAAACTACACTATATATACACACTGCTCTCTTTCAAACTACACTATATATACACACTGCTCTCTTTCAAACTACACGATATACACACTGCTCTCTTTCAAACTACACTATATACACACACTGCTCTCTTTCAAACTACACTATATATACACACTGCTCTCTTTCAAACTACACTATATATACACACTGCTCTCTTTCAAACTACACTATATATACACACTGCTCTCTTTCAAACTACACCATATCTACACACTGCTCTCTTTCAAACTACACCATATCTACACACTGCTCTCTTTCAAACTACACTATATATACACACTGCTCTCTTTCAAACTACACTATATATACACACTGCTCTCTTTCAAACTACACCATATCTACACACTGCTCTCTTTCAAACTACACCATATCTACACACTGCTCTCTTTCAAACTACACTATATATACACACTGCTCTCTTTCAAACTACACTATATATACACACTGCTCTCTTTCAAACTACACCATATCTACACACTGCTCTCTTTCAAACTACACTATATATACTGTGACGCCACGAGAGGCTACACAGCTTTCAGCGGGATTGCTCAAGTAGTGCAAGGAGACAAGGTTCAAACAAAACAAGGATTTTATTAAAGGTCTTGGGAAATTAACGAAAATATAACAAAATTCTGTTCTCTTGTGGCTCTTTAAGGGTTAACAGTTCAGGGATGTCTCTTCCACATCCAAAATCATAATTCTCACTCGCTCAGATAACTTTTCCCCAGCCTTACTGTAGTCCACGTTGCAGCTAGTGGCCAACCCAGCAAAAAGTCCTTCCAAATGTCTCTCACGTATTTCCACAGGCGAATATATCCAAAGGTGAGTATTTCCCAAAGGTAAGTATCTCCAAATCCTTATATTCCTCATGGAAGTGGACGTGCAGCACTCTTGTCCTCCAGAGAGCCCAGGTTGGAGACTGTGTTTCTTCACCCCCCACACTCCTTCCCAGTGTCTCTTCCCTTCAAAAACCTTCAGCTCATCAGCTCCTGATTTGTTTCAGCTGCGTGGGAAGATTGGCCATAGAGGGGTGGAGTTCCCGACCATACCAGCAGATGGAGCCATAGCTGTCTGGGTTTGCAGCCATCTCAGGGGGATGTAACGTCCCTCCAGGACACAGCCTCTCGTGACATCACAATACACACTGCTCTCTTTCAAACTACACTATATACACACTGCTCTCTTTCAAACTACACTATATATACACACTGCTCTCTTTCAAACTACACTATATATACACACTGCTCTCTTTCAAACTACACTATATACACACACACCGACTGCGAGCCAGGCCTAATCGCCCAACATCAGTGCCCGACCTCACTAATGCTCTTGTGGCTGAATGGAAGCAAGTCCCCACAGCAATGTTCCAACATCTAGTGGAAAGCCTTCCCAGAAGAGTGGAGGCTGTTATAGCAGCAAAGGGGGGGACCAACTCCATTTGAATGCCCATGATTTTGGAATTAATGTTCGACGAGCAGGTGTCCACATACTTTTGGTAATGTAGTGTACGTATAACATATTGGTTGATAATACCACGTCAATCTCAGGCAAAAAATTTTAGCCACATTTTTATCTTGCCTAGGGTGGCAAAATTGCTGGGACTGGGGCTGCAAAGCGAGCTGAGTAACAAACATCTAAAATAACATTGCGGGACTGCAGTCGGGTTCGGGCCCAGTTCTTGTGGGAGTGTGCGTGAGTCGGACAAGAAGCCAGCGAGGGTGCTATGAAGGGGGGATGAAGAAATCAGTCTCAGCCCTCTAATTCAATGTTCTTAAAAAAACAGAAATAAAATATAACTATATGTTTCTCCCATTTCTTCCAGGACGATGGTACAGGCCACGGGGACCACCAGGACCCCATCTCTCTGGCCGTGGAGATGGCTGCAGTCAACCACACCATCCTGGCTCTGTCCCGGACCGGAGGGGTGCCCAGCGACATCAAGACCGAGGCCCTGGACGATGACTGAGGAGGGGAGGGGGGTTACTGGACAGTGACTGGGGAAGGGAGGAAGAGGATGAGGAAGGAGTGGAGAGCGAAGGGTAATAATCGAGAGAGGATATGTCGTGTGTGCATGAGTGATTGTTTGGGTAGGTCAAGGAATGTGAAGATGACCAAATGAAGCTATCCACCTCCAGCCCCCCTCGTTCCCCTTGTGCTCTCAGCCCCTCCACTGCCCCAGTGTACTGTACCCTGCCCTGCTCGGAGTGAAAAAGTTGAGTGGGGGGAAAAGAAATGGCTGTATTTTCTGGACCCCCCCCCCCAACATGGTGGTGCTGGCCTAGGGCCCTGGTCAACCCCTCTTCCCACCTGAGAGCAGCAGTTGTGTGTATATATGGTATCTAATCTCAGAGACACAGAATGGTTCTCATGCTCCTTAATCTTGTGCTGCCCTGAACCCTTTTCCTTGTGCAATGCATTGGTAGAGCATCAGTGGCCTCTTACTAACAATTCTGGGATGGATGGATGGATGGATGGATGGATGGTGGGAGATGGAGAGGGATGGATGGATGGATGGTGGGAGATAGAGAGGGATGGATGGATGAATGGTGGGAGATGGAGAGGGATGGATGGATGTAGTTTATCACCTTGCCCCAGAACAGTCAGTTGAGAACTACCTGTTTGTGGATTGGACTGTTCTGATTGGACTAGACTGTTCCCTAAATGTTCAATGTATCCTGCAGTCTAGAGCTTCCATTCCTACTGGAATCTTAAAAGTTTCGTTTGTAAACATTGATTTTTTTGTTATGAAGTTTCCCCATGTCCGTGTGTTCTTTGAATCGAACGGCCACCAGAAATACAGAAGTTGCCTTCTGTAACAGACGGTTACGTGCAGGTGGCAAAAAGCAATCTGAAACCAAGCAGTACCACCCCAAAGCCAAATGAGATGAGACACAGGGCTAACTTCTGTAGGTCACTGGGTATTAAAGGGACAATCTGGTATTGGTAAATCATTTGACTTAAATAATGATATATTTACCCATTTGTTTTTGGAATAATATATTTTATAAAATGCCTCATGCGCTTGCTTTAACCCCCATCAGAACACAAAATATGTTTTACTCAATTCTTTGTAAACAATGTAATTGTAGACGAATACTGAGTAGCGTCAAAACATGGTTAAAACTATAATTTTCTCATGGATGGTCAGTCCTTGCATCCGTAGCTCTGTCTATGAATTTGAGTGGTTACATTTCTCCAGCTCCATCCATCAGCTGTTTACCAAAAGTTGCGGGGTGATGCTTTGTTTGTACTGCAGATTGCCCCTTTATGGACTGCTGTCTGAGCTGCTCAAACTGACCCGAGAGCTGTGTTACAGAGAGATGGTGGGTCTATTCTTTTTAATGGTTCAGTTTTATCAAAAGTAAATTAACAGCGGGTGAGTTTCCTTAAGGTTTGGTAGCACTAAGATCACGTCCAATGGCGGCAACCTGTGAAAGATGATCTCAGTGCTACAGACCGTACAAAGCTTTTGGGTAACTCGCCCTCATTGGCGGACGTAACATATCATATGAAATGGATGATGTAGTACCCAATTGGATGAGCACTACTTTCAAAACTACTGGCTGAAATTATACAAAAGTTCCGGAGCGTCACTCTGAATCAGGGGTGTCAAACTAATCTTTCCCCCCCCCCGATCCGCAGTCGGTGTTCAACGAGGTCCAGAGGTATATTTATATATCCTGAAAGTATATTTCCTCGCTGTCAAAATTTGCAATAAGATAGTCCTCTAACCCTCGTACTCCCCGACTTTCTAGCTTTAATTTCAGTAATGAATAGCGAGCTGGACACAGTCAAGGGACTGTATAAATGTAGCTCCATTATTATTTCTACACAGTTACCATTTGGTTTTAGTCATTTTTAAGTATATCGAGTTCGCCCCCCCTTAAAAAAATTATAATAACCCAACACTACTTTTACTCAAACCTCCCCCGGGCCGTATGTAATAATAATATGCCATTTAGCAGACGCTTTTATCCAAAGCGACTTAGTCATACGTGCATACATTTTTTGTGTGTATGGGTGGTCCCGGGGATCGAACCCACTACCTTGGCGTTACAAGCGCCGTGCTCTACCAGCTGAGCTACAGAGGACCACCTCTGCTTAAAGAGGGGAGGTGAATATCTGCAGATACTCGGCCCTCCGTGGATTGAGTTTGACACCCCTGTGTTAGATTAACTGGCAGACAGTGGATTCAGAAAGTATTCAGACTCCTTGACTCTTTCCACATTTTACTTTAGCCCTATTCTAAAATGGATTATCCCCCCCCCCCCCCCCCCCCCCCCACCAACCAATCAATCTACACACAATACCCCATAATGACAAAGCAAAAAATTAAGTTTTTGCAAATGTATTAAAAATAACCTGAAATATTGTGTTTACATAAGTATTCAGAACCTTTACTCAGTACTTTGTTGAAGCACCTTTGGCAGTGATTACAGCCTCAAGTCTTCTTGGGTATGACGCTACGAGCTTGGCACACCTGTATTTGGGGAGTTTCTCCCATTCTTCTCTGCAGATCCTCAAGCTCTGTCAGGTTGGATGGGGAGCATCGCTGCACAGCTATTTTCAGGTCTCTCCAGAGATGTTCGATCGGGCTCAAGTCTGGGCTCTGGCTGGGCCACTCAGAGACTTGTCCCGAAGTTTGCTCCCATCACAGCCATTAGACTAACTGTTGTTAAAGTGACCATTTGCCTCATGGTGAAATCCCTGAGTGGTTTCCTTCCTCTCCGACAACTGAGTTAGGAAGGACACCTGTATCTTTATAGGGACTGGGTGTATTGATACACCATCCAAAGTGTAATTAAGAACTTCACAATGCTCAAAGGGATATTCAATGTTTGCTTTTTATTTTACCAAATCTACCAATAGCTGCCCTTTGCGAGGCATTGGATAACCTCCCTGGCCTTTGTGGTTTAATCTGTGTTTGAAATTCACTGTTTGACCGTGGGACCTTACAGATCAATTGTATGTGTGAGGTACAGAGATGGGGTAGTCATTAAAAAAAAATCATGTTCAACACTATTATTGCAAGTCCATGCAACTTAAGCAAATATTTACTCCTGAACTTATTTAGGCTTGCCATAACAAAGGGAACACTTGACTCAAGACATTTCAGCTTTTCATTTTTAATTAATTTGTACACATTTTCGAAAAACACAATTCCACTTTGACATGATGGGGTATTGTGTGTAGGCCAGTGACAAAACATCTCAATTTAATCCATTTTAAATTCAGGCTGTACCAACGTGGGAAAAGTCAAGGGGTGTGAATACTTTCTGGTGGCACTGCATGTGCTTTTAAAAGATAGTTTGATCCTTCACACACTTGAGTCTAGCTGAGCAGAGCTAAGCATTCTTGTTGGAACCGTGCTGGAAAGGACAATGCCAAAGGAAAATATCTGAGCCAGTTTGGTTTGGCACGATAGGGTGGACATACGATAGTGTGAAAAGGGTATTTATCTGACGGGTATTATATTTAATTCTGCTGGTGCTTGAGAGGATCTAGTCTTGCCCTAACCCTGCACTGGGTTCACTGTCCTTGAAGAAAGAAATAGATTTTTTTTTAAAGACAAGTGTATTTATATTATTTATTTTGTATGTTCTTAGTGTAAAATTATGAGGATGATACTGTTTTGGAAATTATGCTTTTATTGTGAAATCAATCAATGTCTCTTATTGTTCTTATGCTTCTGTTGTGTGTTTATCCCCTGATGAAGAACCGTCTTCATGTCAAGAGATGACTAGATACTGTATTGTGTAATAGCAATGCAGTCCTCTATTGCAGGTGAACTGTCCTGTTATAAAGGCTACTCCTGTAGTAGCGCCTCCCAACCTGAAGTGGTGCTGTGGTACAGGTCCTGTATGCTAGAAATGTTAAACATTTTACTACTTTGTGTGACCGACTGGGGTTTCGAACCCAGGTCCACTACACGCCATAAGCACCAACTTACAGCCTAGGCGTTAGCTCAGGGATCTAACAAAGTCGTCAAGGCCAAATAGGTATCCTGTACAAAATGTAAATGATGTTATTCTAATGGTTGTCTGATCACACAAACTAATAATAAATAAGTCAAACAAATGAAAGTAACCTCTACTCCCTCTCCTTGTCCTCCATTGAGCACTGTGCAAGAGGGTCAGAGGCAGACTGGCAATAGGGCAATTCAGGCCAATGCCAGATGGGCTAGTCCATCTTTAGCCCAGAGGGTCTGGCTAAATTGGGGTTATTGCATAGAATAATCATTATTTGGCTACTAATGAGGGCCTAAAGCAACAACAAAAAAATAACCGGTGTGGAGCTTCAAGGAAAATAATGGGCCAGTGTGTTGGAAATGCCAGGGTCGATTTCTGGTCCCACTCCGCCCCTGAAGGGGGGTGTTTGTTCTGTGTCAGGGTCCAGGTTCAGACTTATATCTACAGTTCCTTCCATGTCTGCTGTCCCCAGTAAATATAATCAACTACATTAAATTAAAACTGTCAATATAGCTCTCTGAAATGACAAGTCCAAGATTGAATGCTGTTTTATCAATCTTTATCCGATAGTCTTCTGAATTACTGTATTGCCCATTAAATAATCGAGTGCCTTTTTTTGGACAGTATACTTTGTTCTGTAATTAAAATGTATATTTAAGTTTTTCTACCGTTTCTTTTATTTTATTTTGTATGATATATATACACACACAAGATAATAAAATTATATAAACATTTTTTATACCAAATGCTAAGAACCGAAAAACTATAGATAAAGTTAATGATACCATCAAACTCCTTGCCACGTCATGTAGTAGACTAGGTCTACGCTACAATGTAAGTCAAAGCTACAGATGTCCATACGCTCTGAGTTAAAACATTTGAGAACTATAATTGAATGCACCAATTTGTAAGTCGCTCTGGATAAGAACGTCTGCTAAATGACGTAAATGTAATAATTCAGTTACAGGATTAATTCCCTCTGCTCTCCAGTGGCACTTTACAAAATCCTAGGATAGGCTCAAAGTAATGGCTGGAACAAAATGAATGGAATGGTAGCCAACACACATTGTTTCTCCATTCCGGCCATTATTATGAGTCCTCGTCCTCTCACCAGCCTCCTCTGCACTGTGTCTAGGCTAAGACTGATTTTATTGTCAGGGCAAGGCTTCTCCAGGGTGGTTTTGGCCTAGGTTAGGAGAAGGCAAAGTTCCAGGTGATTCCCAGCAGAAAGCGCAGCCCCACCACCGTCACTATGAGCTTGGTGCCTGTCCCCTGTTGCTGGGCCTGGTCCATGCCCGGCTTGGTCTAGGGTCAGGGTCAGGGTCACAAGGTTAGTTAGTAGTAGGTAAGCCTCCAAGCTCGAACAAGCCATGACTCGTGCAAGGCTACTTACTTCATTACTGACTGACTAACTAAATAAACCTTAGACAAGTAAGCCTTGTCCAAGCCAGAACGGCCCATCACAAGGTTAAGACAATTGTATACAATGCAGAAGTTTTCAAAAAATGTACTAATTAATGGGACCAGCGACTTTGCTAATTTAGCTAAAGACTCTACAGGATGAGCATTGATAATGTGACCAGCGTTCGGGAAATCTAGTAATAAAGTGGCTGTAGATGTTTAGAAAAACCGTTTAAATGAAGAGTGACACTGAAGCGGTTTGCTATGTGTTTGCTGAGTAGTTAGCCGAAATTCACTACCACTTTGTTTATTATCCACTTTGATGGCGAACTTTCTTTGCTGCTACCGTTAATTTCACAGTCATGTTTGCTTGCATCGCTGGTCCTTTTGTTTAGAGTTCTTCCGCAATTATGCAAAAGTGTTATGGGATGATAATGACTTTACCTTGGTAGGTATAACAACCTTTGTTCTTGGTGCTCTTAAGGTGGTGAACGTGAAGAGGAAGACCAGCGCATAGTAGCCAAAGTTCTCTATGTAGAGCACGTCAATATCCGGGAAACGGGGAGAGGTTGAGAGCTTGTAGATTATCACAGGATCAATCTGAAGGAGGGAGACAAAATAAACATGTATCAACCAAAAGCAATGGCATTCGCTTGTTCAGCGGGACCTCCGTCAGTGTAGATGGTCTGTTCTTCATATTTACCCAGACCGAAGAGGACATTGGGTGAGTAGAGGTTTTCGGGAGAAAAAAAAAAGTTAAAGTACTGTTACTTGTAATTTACTCAAGTAAACGGTCCTGGGGACCCCAAGGGCTGCACGTTTTGGTTTTTGACCTAGCTACACAGCTGATTTTGAATAATCAAAGCTTGATGAGTTGACTATTTGAATCAGCTGTGTAGCGCTAGGGCCAAAACCAAAACGGGCACCCCTTGGGTTGCCTAGCTACCCAGGCTCCATGCGCGGGGCGAACGCTATGCCACGCCCACTGTAATGAGTCTGGATGTTAGTTCCTCCCAGACACTTCACCAAAACGTCAACACATTCAGGCCGTCTGATTGGTCTGGAAACCAATGGGTTGGGCCAGAGCCAGAACAAAGGTGAGTAAATCGGCGGTTTGAAGATTTTACGTTTTTAGTCATTTAGCAGACGCTCTTATCCAGAGCGATTTACATGAGCAATTAGGGTTAAGTGCCTTGCTCAAGGGCACATCGACAGATTTTTCACCTAGTCGGCTCGGGGATTAGAACCAGCGACCTTTCGGTTACTGGCACAACGCTCTTAACCACTAAGCTACCTGCCGCCAATGCGTCTTTGGCTTTGATACTCTGATTGGTTAGAGACAATCCAATCGCTGATTACTTTGTTTTTTTACAACACCCATCTTCACTACAAACTACTGAAATAGAGGTGGTAGTGTCAGAGACGTGAGTATCACCAAAAGGTTGCGAGTTCGAATCTCACCACATACAATTTTAGCTAATTAGCAACTTTTCAACTACTTACTACTTTTTTGCAACTACTTAGCTAACCCTAACCTTAACCCTTTTAGCTAACCCTTCCCCTAACTCCTAAACTTAACCCTAACACCTAGCCTAGCTAAAGTTAGCCACCTAGATAGAATTTGTAACATATCATACTTTTTGCAAATTCGTAACATATTGTATGTTTAGCAAATTTGTAACATTCTACGTTTTGCAAATTCATAACATAAAACACGTATTGTAATTTGTAACATATCATACGAAATGGGTGATGGACATCCACAAATTAATACATACCATACATACAAAATGTAACATCAGATTATACACTGCTCAAAAAAATAAAGGGAACACTTAAACAACACAATGTAACTCCAAGTCAATCACACTTCTGTGAAATCAAACTGTCCACTTAGGAAGCAACACTGATTTACAATACATTTCACATGCTGTTGTGCAAATGGAATAGACAACAGGTGGAAATTATAGGCAATTATCAAGACACCCCAAATAAAGGACTGGTTTTGCAGGTGGTGACCGCAGACCACTTCTCAGTTCCTATGCTTCCTGGCTGATGTTTTGGTCACTTTTGAATGCTGGCGGTGCTTTCACTCTAGTGGTAGCATGAGACGGAGTCTACAACCCACACAAGTGGCTCAGGTAGTGCAGCTCATCCAGGATGGCACATCAATGCGAGCTGTGGCAAGAAGGTTTGCTGTGTCTGTCAGCGTAGTGTCCAGAGCATGGAGGCGCTACCAGGAGACAGGCCAGTACATCAGGAGACGTGGAGGAGGCCGTAGGAGGGCAACAACCCAGCAGCAGGACTGCTACCTCCGCCTTTGTGCAAGGAGGAGCAGGAGGAGCACTGCCAGAGCCCTGCAAAATGACCTCCAGCAGGCCATAAATGTGCATGTGTCTGCTCAAATGGTCAGAAACAGACTCCATGAGGGTGGTATGAGGGCCTGACGTCCACAGGTGGGGGTTGTGCTTACAGCCCAACACCGTGCAGGACGTTTGGCATTTGCCAGAGAACACCAAGATTGGCAAATTCGCCACTGGCGCCCTGTGCTCTTCACAGATGAAAGCAGGTTCACACTGAGCACATGTGACAGACGTGACAGAGTCTGGAGACGCCGTGGAGAACGTTCTGCTGCCTGCAACATCCTCCAGCATGACTGGTTTGGCGGTGGGTCAGTCATGGTGTGGGGTGGCATTTCTTTGGGGGGCCGCACAGCCCTCCATGTGCTCGCCAGAGGTAGCCTGACTGCCATTAGATGAGATCCTCAGACCCCTTGTGAGACCATATGCTGGTGCGGTTGGCCCTGGGTTCCTCCTAATGCAAGACAATGCTAGACCTCATGTGGCTGGAGTGTGTCAGCAGTTCCTGCAAGAGGAAGGCATTGATGCTATGGACTGGCCCGCCCGTTCCCCAGACCTGAATCCAATTGAGCACATCTGGGACATCATGTCTCGCTCCATCCACCAACGCCACGTTGCACCACAGACTGTCCAGGAGTTGGCGGATGCTTTAGTCCAGGTCTGGGAGGTGATCCCTCAGGAGACCATCCGCCACCTCATCAGGAGCATGCCCAGGCGTTGTAGGGAGGTCATACAGGCACGTGGAGGCCACACACACTACTGAGCCTCATTTTGACTTGTTTTAAGGACATTACATCAGTTGGATCAGCCTGTAGTGTGGTTTTCCACTTTAATTTTGAGGGTGACTCCAAGTCCAGACCTCCATGGGTTGATAAATTTGATTTCCATTGATTAATTTTTGTGTGATTTTGTTGTCAGCACATTCAACTATGTAAAGAAAAAAGTATTTAATAAGATTATTTCATTCATTCAGATCTAGGATGTGTTATTTTAGTGTTCCCTTTATTGTTTTGAGCAGTGTACTAAACAAAAATATAAACGCAACATGTAAAGTGTTGGTCCCATGTTTCATGAGCTGAAATAAAAGATCCCTGAAATGTTCCATACGCACAAAAAGCTTATTTCTCTCAAATTTTGTGCACAAATTTGTTTACATCCCTGTTAGTGAGCATTTCTCCTTTGCCAAGATAATCCATCCACCTGACAGGTGTTGCATATCAAGAAGTTGATTAAACAGCATGATTATTACACAGGTGCACCTTGTGCTGGGGACAATAATAGGCCACTTTAAAATGAGCAGTTTTGTCACACAACACAATGTCACAGATGTCTCAAGTTTTGCATGCTGACTGCAGGAATGTCCACCAGAGCTGTTACCAGATAATTTAATGTTCATATCTCTACCATAAGCTGCCTCCAATGTCGTTTTAGTGAATTTGGCAGTACGTCCAACTGTCCTCACAACTGCAGACCACGTGTAACCACGCCAGCCCAGGACCTCCACATCCGGCTTCTTCACCTGTGGGATCGTCTGAGACCAGCCACCCGGACAGCTGATGAAACTGCGGAGTATTTCTGTCTGTAATAAAGCCCTTTTGTGGGGAAAAACTCATTCTGATTGGCTGGGCCTGGCTCCCAATTGGGTGGGCCTTTGCCCTCCCAGGCCCACCCATGGCTGCGCCCCTGCCCAATCATGTGAACTCCATAGATTAGGGCCTAATGAATTTATTTCAATTGACTGATTTCCGTATATGAACTGTAACTCAGTAAAGTAGTTGAAATTGTTTCATGTTGCGTTGATATTTTTGTTCTGTATAAATGTACTGTTTCGGATTTACTTACATAATAATACGAAATGCTCTGAGACCAGGTTGAATGAGGAGGCAACAGGCCAATAAGCCGTCCATCCTCAACAGCTTCTTCCTGTAGGTGTTTAGGCCAACGTTGCTGTTCTGCAGAATAAACGAGTTGTGCGTTTTCCACCTGGCCACCACATTGTGCAGCGTTTTTTTTTTGCGCATCAGGTGACCTAACCTGCACATTTAAGAGTGGAAGCGTTTTCTGTTCACATAGTTTAACTCGTTTTGGTTGCCTTATACATGCTAGTCAGCCATATACATGTTAGTCAACCATACTGTACATGCTAGTCAACCATACTGTACATGCTAGTCAACCATATACATGCTAGTCAACTATATACATGCTAGTCAGCCGTATACATGCTAGTCAGCCATATACATGCTAGTCAACCATATACATGCTAGTCAGCCGTATACATGCTAGTCAGCCGTATACATGCTAGTCAGCCGTATACATGCTAGTCAGCCGTATACATGCTAGTCAACCATATACATGCTAGTCAGCCGTATACATGCTAGTCAGCCATATACATGCTAGTCAGCCGTATACATGCTAGTCAGCCGTTCTAGTCAGTGGGATGTTCTTTTGTCTATCTTCTATTTATGCATTTTAGTTAGACTTTTTTGTCTGTGCTGTTTAACCTGAATACAGAGCTGGTATAACTTAGTGGTCTTTGCTGTTTAACCTGAATACAGAGCTGGTATAACTTAGTGGTCTTTGCTGTTTAACCTGAATACAGAGCTGGTATAACTTAGTGGTCTTTGCTGTTTAAACTGAATACAGAGCTGGTATAACTTAGTGGTCTTTGCTGTTTAACCTGAATACAGAGCTGGTATAACTTAGTGGTCTTTGCTGTTTAACCTGAATACAGAGCTGGTATAACTTAGTGGTCTTTGCTGTTTAACCTGAATACAGAGCTGGTATAACTTAGTGGTCTTTGCTGTTTAACCTGAATACAGAGCTGGTATAACTTAGTGGTCTTTGCTGTTTAAACTGAATACAGAGCTGGTATAACTTAGTGGTCTTTGCTGTTTAACCTGAATACAGAGCTGGTATAACTTAGTGGTCTTTGCTGTTTAACCTGAATACAGAGCTGGTATAACTTAGTGGTCTTTGCTGTTTAAACTGAATACAGAGCTGGTATAACTTAGTGGTCTTTGCTGTTTAACCTGAATACAGAGCTGGTATAACTTAGTGGTCTTTGCTGTTTAAACTGAATACAGAGCTGGTATAACTTAGTGGTCTTTGCTGTTTAACCTGAATACAGAGCTGGTATGACTTAGTGGTCTTTGCTGTTTGACTTTAATAAAGAGCTGGTAAGGTGGAGCAGATGAATACGGACAGGAGACTGCAGACCCTGCTGTGCTGTCAAAAGAGTCTGATGAACAAAGAACTCTCCACAGTAAGGACGCACGTGCATGCACACACACACAACTGATTGATTGTGTTTCAAATTAAATGTTCCCCTTCATCTGAAATTAAGGCCTATAAATGTTCCCTAATGCAAATGGAGGGTTCTAAACAGCTCTGATCTCCTCTCCTCTCCTCTCCTCTCCTCTCCTCTCTTCTGCTCCTCCCCTCTCCTTGCTTCTCCTCTCCTCCTCTCTCCTCTGCTCTCTTCTCTCCTCCTCTCCTCTCTCAGTTGGAGTGAACACCTTTGACTACCTGGGTGATATCCTCAGCTACATTGTTGTCTCCATCCCCATCTTCACTGCTTGTGACCTCATTCCAGGGGTGCTCAGTCTCCTCATCAGTAAGGTACAGTAGTCCAGGGGAGCTCAGTGTCCTCATCAGTAAGGTACAGTAGTCCAGAGGAGCTCAGTGTCCTCATCAGTAAGGTACAGTAGTCCAGGGGAGCTCAGTGTCCTCATCAGTAAGGTACAGTAGTCCAGGGGACAGTGTCCTCATCGGTAAGGTACAGTAGTCCAGGGGACAGTCTCCCCATCAGTAAAGTACAGTAGTCCAGAGGAGCTCAGTGTCCTCATCAGTAAGGTACAGTAGTCCAGAGGAGCTCAGTGTCCTCATCAGTAAGGTACAGTAGTCCAGGGGAGCTCAGTGCTCTCATCAGTAAGGTACAGTAGTCCAGGGGAGCTCAGTGTCCTCATCAGTAAGGTACAGTAGTCCAGGGGACAGTGTCCTCATCAGTAAGGTACAGTAGTCCAGGGGACCTCAGTGTCCTCATCAGTAAGGTACAGTAGTCCAGGGGAGCTCAGTGTCCTCATCAGTAAGGTACAGTAGTCCAGGGGACAGTGTCCTCATCAGTAAGGTACAGTAGTCCAGGGGACAGTCTCCCCATCAGTAAAGTACAGTAGTCCAGAGGAGCTCAGTGTCCTCATCAGTAAGGTACAGTAGTCCAGGGGACAGTGTCCTCATCAGTAAGGTACAGTAGTCCAGGGGGCAGTCTCCTCATCAGTAAGGTACAGTAGTCCAGGGGGCAGTCTCCTCATCAGTAAAGTACAGTAGTCCAGAGGAGCTCAGTGTCCTCATCAGTAAGGTACAGTAGTCCAGGGGAGCTCAGTGTCCTCATCAGTAAGGTACAGTAGTCCAGGGGAGCTCAGTGTCCTCATCAGTAAGGTACAGTAGTCCAGGGGAGCTCAGTGCTCTCATCAGTAAGGTACAGTAGTCCAGGGGAGCTCAGTGTCCTCATCAGTAAAGTACAGTAGTCCAGGGGACAGTGTCCTCATCAGTAAGGTACAGTAGTCCAGGGGAGCTCAGTGTCCTCATCAGTAAGGTACAGTAGTCCAGAGGAGCTCAGTGTCCTCATCAGTAAAGTACAGTAGTCCAGAGGAGCTCAGTGTCCTCATCAGTAAGGTACAGTAGTCCAGGGGACAGTCTCCTCATCAGTAAGGTACAGTAGTCCAGGGGGCAGTCTCCTCATCAGTAAAGTACAGTAGTCCAGAGGAGCTCAGTGTCCTCATCAGTAAGGTACAGTAGTCCAGAGGAGCTCAGTGTCCTCATCAGTAAGGTACAGTAGTCCAGAGGAGCTCAGTGTCCTCATCAGTAAGGTACAGTAGTCCAGAGGAGCTCAGTGTCCTCATCAGTAAGGTACAGTAGTCCAGGGGAGCTCAGTGTCCTCATCAGTAAGGTACAGTAGTCCAGGGGACAGTCTCCTCATCAGTAAGGTACAGTAGTCCAGAGGAGCTCAGTCTCCTCATCAGTAAAGTACAGTAGTCCAGAGGAGCTCTCCAACCTGTCCTTGTTACTGTCCATGCCGATTGTCATTACCCCCTCTATCCACTGGGTGGCAGTATATACCAACTACTTTACCTTGACAAGGTTATCTGATACCTGCTATGTGGACACCTGCTAGTCGAACATCTCATTCCAAAATCATGGGCATTAGTGTCGAGTTTGTCCCCCCTTTGCTGCTATAACAGCCTCCACTCTTATGGGAAGGCTTTCCACTAGATGTTGGAACATTGCTGTGGGGACTTGCTTCCATTCAGCCACAACAGCGATAGTGAGGTCGGGCACTGATGTTGGGCGATTAGGCCTGGCTCAGAATTGTCTAGTATTTGTATTTGTATTTATTATGGATCCCCATTAACTGCTGCCAAGGCATCAGCTACTCATCCTGGGGTCCGGCAAAATTACATTACAATACATTCATAACAGATTTCACAACACACTAAGTGTGTGCCCTAAGGGTCCCAGGCCCTCAGGCCCCATGTGTACGTGTGTGTATAGTGCGTATGTTATCGTGTGTGTGTGCATGTGTCTGTGCCTATGTTTGTGTTGCTTCACAGTCCCCGCTGTTCCATAAGGTGTATTTTTATCAGTTTTTTAAAATCTGATTCTACTGCTTGCATCAGTTATCTGATGTGGAATAGAGTTCCATGTAGTCATGGCTCAATGTAGTACTGTGCACCTCCCATAGTCTGTTCTGGACTTGGGGACTGTGAAGAGACCTCTGGTGGCATGTTTTGTGGGGTATGCATGGAACTCTGCGCTGTGTGCTAGTCGTTTAAACAGACAGCTCAGTGCTTTCAACATGTCAATACCTCTCACAAATACAAGTAGTGATGAAGTTAATCTCTCCTCCACTTTGAGCCAGTAGAGATTTACATGCTCTGTGTACATCCAAGGCCAAGCCGTGCTGCCCTGTTCTGAGCCAATTGCAATTTTCTTAAGTCCCTCTTTGTGGCACCTGACCACACGACTGAACAGTAGTCCAGGTGCGACAAAACTAGGGCCTGTAGGACCTGCCTTGTTGATAGTGCTGTTAAGAAGGCAGAGTAGCGCTTTATTATGGACAGACTTCTCCCCATCTTAGCTACTGTTGTATCAATATGTTTTGACCATGACAGTTTACAATCCAGGGTTACTCCAAGCAGTTTAGTCACCTCAACCTGCTCAATTTCCACATTATTTATTACAATATTTAGTTGAGGTTTAGGGTTTAGTGAATGATTTGTCCCAAATACAATACTTTTAGTTTTTGAAATATTTAGGACTAACTTATTCCTTGCCACCCATTCTGAAACTAACTGCAGCTCTTTGTTAAGTGTTGCAGTCATTTCAGTCGCTGTAGTAGCTGACGTGTATAGTGTTGAGTCATCCGCATACATAGACACACTGGCTTTACTCAAAGCCAGTGGCATGTCGTTAGTAAAGATTGAAAAAAGTAAAGGGGCCTAGACAGCTGCCCTGGGGAATTCCTGATTCTACCTGGATTATGTTGGAGAGGCTTCCATTAAAGAACACCCTCTGTGTTCTGTTAGACAGGTAACTCTGTATCCACGATATAGCAGGTGGAGTAAAGCCATAACACATATATTTCTCCAGCAGCAGATCATGATCGATAATGTCAAAAGCCGCACTGAAGTCTAACAAAACAGCCCCCATAATCTTTTCATCATCAATTTCTCTCAGCCAATCATCTGTCATTTGAGTAAGTGCTGTGCTTGTTGAATGTCCTTCCCTATATGCATGCTGAAAGTCTGTTGTCAATTTGTTTACTGTAAAATAGCATTGTATCTGGTCAAACACAATTTTTCCAAAACTTTACTAAAGGTTGGTAACAGGCTGATTGGTCGGCTATTTGAGCCAGTAAAGGAGGCTTTAATATTCTTAGGAAGCAGAATTACTTTACTATATTGTGATCACTATATCCGATGGATCTGGATACTGCTTTCAAGCACATTTCTGCAGCATTAGTAAAGATGTGATCAATACATGTTGATGATTACGTTCCTGTGCTGTTTGTAACTACCCTGGTAGGTTGACTGATAACCTGAACCAGGTTGCAGGCACTGGTTACAGTTTGTAGCTTTTTCTTGAGTGGGCAGCTTGATGAAAGCCAGTCAATATTTAAATCACACAGAAAATATACCTCTATGTTGATATCTCATACATTATCAAGCATTTCACACATTATCCAATACTGACTGTTAGCACTTGGTGGTCTATAGCAGCTTCCCACCAGAATGGGCTTTAGGTGAGGCAGATGAACCTGTAGCCATATTACTTCAACAGTATTGAACATGAGATCCTCTCTAAGCTTTACAGGAATGTGGTTCTGAATATAAACAGCAACACATCCACCACTGGCATTTCTGTCTTTTCTGTAAATGTTATAACCTTGTATTGTTACCACTGTATCATCAAAGGTATTATCTAAGTGAGTTTCAGAGATAGTCAAAATATGAATGTAATCTGTTACTAGCAAGTTATTAATTTAACTAAACTTGTTGCTCTGACCGGGAGACCCATGGGGCGGCGCACAATTGGCCCAGCGTCGTCCAGGTTGGGGGAGGGAATGGCCGGCAGGGATGTAGCTCAGTTGGTAGAGCATGGCGTTTGCAATGCCAGGGTTGTGGGTTCGATTCCCACGGGGAGCCAGTATGAAAAATAAAAATAAATAAAAATACAAAATAAGTATGCACTCACTAACTGTAAGTCGCTCTGGATAAGAGCATCTGCTAAATGACTAAAGTGTTTTAAAAAAGTACATGTAATGTAAATGTGTTAAGCTACATACAGTTCCTTGCAAAAGTATTCATCCCCCTTGGCGTTTTTCCTATTTTGTTGCATTACAACCTGTAATTTAAATTGATTTTTTAATTTGAATTTCATGTAATGGACATACACAAAATAGTCCAAATTGGTGAAGTGAAATGAAAGAAATAAATAACAGAAAAGGGGTGCGTGCATATATATTCACCCCCTTTGCTATGAAGCCCCTAAATAAGATCTGGTGCATCCAATTACCTTCAGAAGTCACATAATTAGTTAAGTAAAGTCCACCTGTGTGCAATCTAAGTGTCACATGATCTGTCACATGATCTCAGTATATATACACATGTACTGAAAAGCCCCAGAGTCTGCAACACCACTAAGCAAGGGGCATCATCAAGCAAGCGACACCATGAAGACCAAGGAGCTCTCCAAACAGGTCAGGGACAAAGTTGTGGAGAAGTACAGATCAGGGTTGGGTTATAAAAAAATATCTGAAACTTTGAACATCCCACGGAGCACCATTTAAATCCATTATTAAAAAATGGAAAGAATATGCCACCACAACAAACCTGCCAAGAGAGGGCCGCCCACCAAAACTCACGGACCAGGCAAGGAGGGCATTAATCAGAGAGGCAACAAAGAGACCAAAGATAACCCTGAAGGAGCTGCAAAGCTCCACAGCGTAGATTGGAGTATCTGTCCATAGGACCACTTTAAGCCAAACACTCCACAGAGCTGGGATTTACGGAAGAGTGGCCAGAAAAAAGCCATTGCTTAAAGAAAAAAATAAGCAAACACGTTTGGTGTTCGCCAAAAGGCATGTGGGAGACTCCCTAAACATATGGAAGAAGGTACTCTGGTACATCAAGGAAAATGCTATGTCTGGCGCAAACCCAACACCTCTCATAACCCCGAGAACACCATCCCCACAGTGAAGCATGGTGGGGATGTTTTTCATCGGCAGGGACTGGGAAACTGTTCAGAATTGTCTGGGTTGGCGCCCCCCCTTGGTTTGTGCTGTGGTGGAGACCTCTGTGGGCTATACTCGGCCTTGTCTCAGGATTGTAAGTTGGTGGTTGAGGATATCCCTCTAGTGGTGCGGGGGCTGTGCTTTGGCAGAGTGGGTGGGGTTATATCCTTCCTGTTTGGCCCTGTCCGGGGGTTTCTTCGGATGGGGCCACAGTGTCTCCGGACCGCTCCTGTCTCAGCCTCCAGTATTTATGCTGCAGTAGTTTATGTGTCGGGGGGCTGGGGTTAGTTGGTTATACCTGGAGTACTTCTCCTGTCTTATCCAGTGTCCTGTGTGAATTTAAGTATGCTCTCTCTAATTCTTTCGTTCTCTCTTTCTCTCTGAGAACCTGAGCCCTAGGACCATACGTCAGGACTACCGGGCATGCTGACACCTTGCTGTCCCCAGTCCGCCTGGCCTTGCTGCTATTCCAGTTTCAACTGTTCTGCCTGCGGTTACGAAACCCCTACCTGTCCCAGACCTGCTGTTTTCAACTCTTAATGATCGGCTATGAAAAGCCAACTGAGAGACCTGAGCCCTAGGACCATACGTCGGGACTACCGGCCGTGGTGACTCCTTGCTGTCCCCAGTCCGCCTGGCCTTGCTGCTATTCCAGTTTCAACTGTTCTGCCTGCGGTTATGGAACCCCTACCTGTCCCAGACCTGCTGTTTTCAACTCTTAATGATCGGCTATGAAAAGCCAACTGAGATTTATTCCTGATTATTATTTGACCATGCTTGTCACTTATGAACATTTTTGAACATCTTGGCATGGTTCTGTTATAATCTCCACCCGGCACAGCCAGAAGAGGACTGGCCACCCCTCATAGCCTGGTTCCTCTCTAGGTTTCTTCCTAGGTTTTGGCCTTTCTAGGGAGTTTTTCCTAGCCACCGTGCTTCTACACCTGCATTACTAGCTGTTTGGGGTTTTAGGCTGGGTTTCTGTACAGCACTTCGAGACATTAGCTGATGTACGAAGAGATGGATGGCGCTAAATACAGGGACATTCTTGAGGGAAACCTGTTTCAGTCTTCCAGAGATTTGAGACTGCGACGGAGGTTCACCTTCCAGCAGGACAATGACACTAAGCATACTGCTAAAGCAACACTCGAGTGGTTTAAGGGGAAACATGTAAATGTCTTGGAGTGGCCTAGTCAAAGCCCAGACCTCAATCCAATTGAGAATCTGTGGTATGACTTAAAGATTGCTGTACACCAGCGGAACCCATCCAACTTGAAGGAGCTGGAGTAGTTTTGCCTTGAAGAATGGGCAAAAATCCCAGTGGCTAGATGTGCCAAGCTTATAGAGACATACCCAAGAGACTTGCAGCTGTAATTGCTGCAAAATGGTTGGTGAATAGTTATGCACGCTCAAGTTTTCAGTTTTTTTGTCTTATTTCTTGTTTGTTTCACAAGAAAAAATATTTTGCATCTTCAAAGTGGTAGGCATGTAAGGCAACAAAATAGGATAAATGCCAAGGGGGGTGAATACTTTCGCAAGCCACTGTATGTTAACGTGGACTATTTTGAGCACTTTTCTGGGATGCTTGCTTGTTTTCATTGCTTTACTGGGAAGCTTAGCAGAAGTAGATATTCTCATGTTATTTATGTTAGTGCAGGGTGAGCTGCACACAGTGGACTTCCTCAGTGCTTCAGTGCTAACAGCATAAATCTGGTCAATAGGCACATGGTTGCTGCATACAAAAGCTGTAGGATCAGCAGAGTCATTCATGGCAGTTAGACGGACATAAATTAGGTTACTTACATTGTGTCTACCAATACCTCTGGTATAATGTACATTTGCTAAAGCATTATGACAACTCAGCAACACAATGGTAGGGATTAACCGAGCTGGGCTTGGGTCATTGATAAGTCATTGTCTCAACGCAGCTTTATAATGCTGTGAAAGGATCCAGGAACCCAAATGATTTGGGTGGATCCCATCCTCCTTATAAAACTTGTTTTGTTTCTAAAAAGTATTGAAATTGTCAACAAAAGTTACACCCATTGAGCTGCAATGGTCACGTAGCCAGTTGTGAAGAGAAAGAATCCTGCTAAAACGTTCAGTGCCACGATTCAGAGAGGGCACAGGGCCAGATATGATGGGTCTTTTATTCATGTCTAGCAGATAGTCAATCAGCTCTTTAAAATCCAGTGTCAAATGTTCAGAGCTGCCCTTCATATAATGTCATTAAAACCTAGATGGACTACGATAGAATCGATTTCCATGTCCTGACGTAGTACATTCGGGAGCAGCTTAGTAATGCCATTTACTCGAGCTCCGGGATAGAACATTGTTTTTGCACCATGAAAAGTCACATTTCTTACCATGGAGCTGCCCAAAATTACGGCTGGTGAGAAGGACGAGGAAATCCGCCCACTCCCACACTTCACAGGATTCGGAGAACCCTTTAAGGACGTGCGAGAGGCAGGATAACTTGAGCCCGCAGTTCCCAGCGCCTGGTGCAGGCCTCTGACAGATGGAGAAGCTCCGCTCGATACAGAGCAGGGACTGCGGGCTCAAATTTGTCCTTTGGTCTGGACTCCAAATTTGAGATTTTTGGTTCCAACCACCGTGGATTTGTGAGACTCGGTTTGGGTGAATGGATGATCTCTGCATGTGTATTTCCCACCGTAAAGCATGGAGGAGGAGGTGTTATGGTGTGGGGGTGCTTTGCTGGTGACACTGTCTGTGATTTATTTAGAATTCAAGGCACACTTAACCAGCATGGCTACCACAGCATTCTGCAGTGATATGCCATCCCATCTGGTTTGGGCTTAGTGGGACTATCATTTGTTTTTCAACAGGACAATGACCCAACACACCTCCAGGCTGTCTAAGGGCTATTATACCAAGAAGGAGAGTGATGGAGTGCTGCATCAGATGACCTGGCCTCCACAATCCCTCGACCTCAACCCAATTGAGATGGTTTGGGATGAGTCGGACGGCAGAGTGAAGGAAAAGCAGACAACAAGTGCTCAGCATATGTGGGAACTCCTTCAAGACTGTTGGAAAAGCATTCCAGGTGAAGCTGGTTGAGAGAATACCAAGAGTGTGCAAAGCTGTCATCAAGGCAAAGGCTGGCTATTTGAAGAATCTCAAATACAAAATATATTTTGATTTGTTTAACACTTTTTTGGTTACTACATGATTCATATTTGTTATTTCATTGTTTTGATGTCGTCACTATTATTCTACTATGTAGAAAATAGTACAAAATAAAGAAAAATCCTGGAATGAGTAGGTGTGTCCAAACTTTTGACTGGTACTGTAGAAGAGGCATTTGAATTTCACTGAATTCAATATTTTTTAAAACTTTAATTCGAATTGCAATTCTGTATGTTTACTACCTCAATTCAAATTCAAGAATTGAATTGGAATTCATGAGAAATTCTCAATTCAATTCTGAATTGAGTACCACCCTGGTGTATTGTGGGCAGGATAGGAGAGCTGAGGGAGGTAATTGATGATATGCTGAGGACACAGTGTGACTACGACCCTGCATCAGGAGAGACCTTCGACATTGACAGGTAAAAAAGCTATGTTCCATTAAGTTCCAGAGCACTGGAACCTCCTCAGCTACATTGTTATCTCAAACAGAGCACAGAAATGAGTTTTTAAGGTTGGATTACGACGATGCTGAAAGGAACAATATATCCGACTCCATCCTCTCCTCTCCTCCTCTCCTTCCTCTCTCTCTCCTCTCCTTCCAGCTCCCTGCGTCCCTCCTCTCTCCATGCTCCTCTCTTCTCTCATGACGATGTCCAGCAGACAGTGTGTCCTACAAGAGTCCCTTCTCTGAGCAGCTGCTGGTTGAAGAGCTGACTATCAAGATTAGCCAGGGCTCCCATCTGCTGGTGGTGGGGAACACAGGTAGGGGTAGACAGGTATATTATAATATACAGGTAGGAGTAGACAGGTATATTATAATATACAGGTAGAGGAGACAGGTATATTTATATACAGTAGGATACAGATTTATTAAGGTAGTAGACAGGTATATATAATATACAGGGTAGGGGTAGACAGGTATATTATAATATACAGGTAGGGGAGACAGGTATATTATAATATACAGGTAGGAGTAGACAGGTATATTATAATATACAGGTAGGGGTAGACAGGTATATTATAATATACAGGTAGGAGTAGACAGATATATTATAATATACAGGTAGGGTAGACAGGTGATATATAATATACAGGTAGGAGTAGACAGTATATTATAATATACAGGTAGGAGTAGACAGGTATATCATAAAATCAGGTAGGTAGACAGGTATATTATAATATACAGGTAGGATGAGAGGTATATATAATATACAGGTAGGAGTAACAGTATTTATAATATACAGGTTAGGAGTAGACAGGTATATTATAATATACAGGTAGAGTAGACCGGTATCTTATATACAGGTAGGAGTTGACAGTATATCTAATATACAGGTAGGGGAGACAGGTTATGATAATATACAGGTGGGGAGACAGGTATATTATAATATACAGGTAGGAGTAGACAGGTATATTATAATATACAGGTAGGAGTAGACAGGTATATTATAATATACAGGGCGGGCCATTCTATTGTATTGATCTATTATAATTTCAAAATGGTGTACCCTGTATCAGTCCACCGAATCCAAGCAGTTTTATCAGTCTACTCTGGTCTACTTGGAGTAGGCCTACACAGTGGGCGTGTGCGCAATTTACAATGGCAAGACCAAGAGGAATGGATGCACACATGCTGCGTTCAAAATCCGAATGAAAACGACTCCGATGGTGGGGAAGAAATGAGTCATGACATCTCTGATGATTCTTCTTCTGATTCTGAGCCTCAGATGCCTAGGCGCGCCACCATCAAACGAAATGGTGAGACAAGAGAGAGGAAGGGACGGCACCGTTTGGATAGAACAAACCGGTGACAATGCTACAAGGCGATTATCAGAACAACATGTCATCACTGAGAGTGCAGGCCCTACAAAAAAAAAGAAATCAGCAACGCACTCACCAGCTTTCGTTGTTTATGTGACATGGACACGCTCCAACTGATGACATTGCGTGAAGAAGCAGAATGTAATCTATTTTGGACTGCTGTCATATCGACATTTATATTAATTATGCCATTATTGCTTTTGTGCTGATTTTCACTATTTATCAAGCACACTTGGCGCTTATAATGACGTTTAGGCTACTGATGTCTTCATAATTTGACAGCACATGTTGCTGACCGTGCGTCTTTGTGGTTGGGGTATTTTGACGCTATAAAAAGAAGCTGGGGGGGTCACTCAAAGCCCAGCAGTTCTAGTTCATTTCATTATCATATGCAGCACTTGCACACATAGGAGGTCCCGTGAAAAAAAAAAAGTGCCCCTATGGAAAATGTGTGCCCCTATGGAAAATGTGTGCCCCTATGGAAAATGTGCGCCCCTATGGAAAATGTGTGCCCCTATGGAAAATGTGCGCCCCTATGGAAAATGTGCGGCCCTATGGAAAATGTGCGCCCCTATGAAAAATGTGCGGCCCTATGGAAAATGTGCGCCCCTATGGAAAATGTGCGGCCCTATGGAAAATGTGTGCCCCTATGGAAAATGTGCGCCCCTATGGAAAATGTGCGCCCCTGTGGAAAATGTGTGCCCCTATGGAAAATGTGTGCCCCTATGGAAAATGTGTGCCCCTATGGAAAATGTGTGCCCCTATGGAAAATGTGCGCCCCTATGGGAAATGTGTGCCCCTATGGAAAATGTGCGCCCCTATGGAAAATGTGCGCCCCTATGATTTGTTCTGATGCCGGCCCTCACCCAAGCCATGGCCAGTACTGGTAACTAACGTTTTTGTGGATGGAGCTTTGTTATGGTGGAATATAAACTGCACAAGGGAAGTTAAATCGTCTACTGATGAATATACTGGGTCTTAAAGGAAAACTCCACCCCAAAACTATATTCTGGTGTTTGTTTCATTAGTCCATTGTTGACATAGTCCCAAAATGTTTTGCTTGTCAGCAATCACGTTTTCAAGATACAGTATGTATCTTTCAAAAATACAGAAATCCTCCCCGTATGATGCGTTTTGCATCATACAGGTTTTTTTAAAGGTTCTCCGATATTATTACACTTCCCTCTAGTTAGCAAGGGGCCGGGTTTATTGTGGAATGGATGTGGATACAGAGTTACCAAGGGGCGGGGTTTATTGGGAATGGATGTGGATACAGCGTTACCAAGGGGCGGGTTTATTGTGGAATGGATGTGGATACAGAGTTACACAAGGGGCGGGTTTATTGTGGAAGGATGTGGATACGAGTTACCAAGGGCGGGGTTATGTGGAAATGGATGTGGATACAGAGTTACCAAGGGGCGGGGTTTATTGTGGAATGGATGTGGATACAGCGTTACCAAGGGGCGGGGTTTATTGTGGAATGGATGTGGATACAGCGTTGCCAAGGGGCGGGGTTTATTGTGGAATGGAAGTGGATACAGCGTTACCAAGGCGGGTTTATTGTGGATGGATGTGGATACAGCGTTACCAAGGGGCGGGTTTATTGTGGAATGGATGTGATACGAGTTACCAAAGGCGAGGTTATTGTGGATGATGTGGAATACAGCGTTACAAGGGCGGGTTTATTGTGGAATGGATGGGATACAGAGTTACCAAGGGGCGGGTTTTTGTGGAATGGATGTGGATACAGCGTTACCAGGGGCAGGGTTTATTGTGGAATGGATGTGATACGCGTTACCAAGGCGGGGTTATTGTGGATGGATGTGATACAGCGTTACCAAGGGGCGGGGTTTTTGTGGAATGGATGTGGATACAGCGTTACCAAGGGCGTGGTTTTATTGTGGAATGGATGTGGATACAGCGTTACCAAGGGGCGGGTTTATTGTGTGAATAGATGTGGATACAGCGTTACCAAGGGGCGGGGTTTATTGTGGAATGGATGTGGATACAGCGTTACCAAGGGGCGGGGTTTATTGTGGAATGGATGTGGATACAGAGTTACCAAAGGCGGGGTTTATTGTGGAATGGATGTGGATACAGCGTTACCAAGGGGCGGGGTTTATTGTGGAATGGATGTGGATACAGAGTTACCAAAGGTGGGGTTTATAAAACATGGCCAAATAGAATGTTGCAGATAGAGATATAATTTATAGAGCTGATATGATGATTCTCTACTGGTCATGACATCGTCCGCTCTACACAATACATTTCTATGTGAATGTTCCGTAATGTTTAAAGGGACACTTCACCAATGTTTAACCTCATATTCATCGTCTCCCCGGCACCATATCACTGTCTGCATATGTGAAAACTGCTGTTTTCTTTGTTCTGTAGTCAAAAAGATACAAATTGGTAAAGTGTCCCTTTAACACCCTGATGTTACTACTGCTGCTTGCCATTGACACGGAGATGCTGGTGAACCCTGATGACCAGGGTCGTCTAGCATGCTAAGGTCACCCAACTCGTCCGTGTTCCACTGTACGACCTTCCTCAGGACACGACGCATGATCTTCCCAGAGCGAGTCCTCAGCAGATGCCTCGTCCCCTCCACGAGAGAAAAGGCCATGTTAATACTTTTAAAATGCATCCTTCCTCCTTTCCTTGATTGAAGTTTTACAATAGCAACACATTTTCGTTTGCGCTAACGGTGTTTTGCTACGTTATGCCCAACTTTACACTACCCAGCTGTCATGGCTGTTAACTTTATCTTAACTCATGTTCAGGACAGTCTTACGTTGGCTTTATGACATTGTTTATGACATTATAAAGTAGACAAGAGAGTTCAAGGATTGAAAGTATCATAAGTGAATCGTCCCCACTAGACTACCAGTAATAGTAGTACTTCCTGTATGAAGTCTGGGCAGGAAACTTGGCGATGCTCCTGGACACCATCTCTAGATTTCCTGCTTATTCCCTCCTGATAGCAGTAATCTTCCAGCGGTGATTTTGGGACAACAACACGTCACTGGAATTTTGCAACCCCATCACTGACACTACTTGTGCTTATTTATATGTAAGTTGATAATTGAGCGATAAAAAGGCACGTGAGGCAGTGCTGTATCGTGAATACAGTCGTTGTTCAGTCAACTCATTTACCTGCGACTGTATTCCCGATACAGCGCTGCCTCGCGTGCCATATTGCTTTTATAAATCTGTTACCAACATACTAAAACAACAACGAAGTCCATATTTTCAGTAAAAACTTTATTTAGATAAGTCAATTCATACAATTTAATTCTCCCATCCGAAGAAATAGCCTGGGAAGAAATCTGTTCGTTAGTTATTTTGGTCATGTTGCTACAGAAACGCTCCAGTAGGTAATTATTTTTGCATAGTTGCTATGGAAAAGGACTGGTCGTCGGTTGTAACAAAAAACGGTTGCTATGTAGGCTGAATAGCCTAATGTTCTTGTCACTTCCTAGTAAGGTAGTGTCACGCCCTGACTCAGGGGACGCTTATATGTTGAGTCAGGGTGTGTATATTCTATGTTGTGTTGTTATAGGTTCTAGTATCAGTATTTCTATGTTGGCCGGTGTGGTTCCCAATCAGAGGCAGCTGTCGCTCGTTCTCTCTCTGATTGGGGGCCATACTTAGGCAGCCTATTGGCACTAGTGGGTTGTGGGATCTTGTTCCGTGTGAGGTATGTTGTTTGTGTCTACCTTGGACTTCACGTTTCGTTTCTTGTTTTGTCGTTGTGTTTAATAGTCAAATAAACATGTATGCATATCACGCTGCGCCTTGGTCCGTCCCGTCTGTAAACGACCGTGACAGGTAGCCAACGTCAGCTAACTAAGTCACGTCAAACATTGCACCTGGAATGACAGTACACTAGCTGCATTTTAGTTTGTTTGAGCTTTTTTTGGTTATTGGCATTTACTTGTATATATCCATAATAATGGCTCAGAAAAAGTTGAGTCTCGTCTGGACACCCGTTCGCTGTCTATGGTAGGCTCCGGGGGAGCGTGCGATTCAAAAGTGAAACAAATCTGACGTCGGACAGCTAGACAGCTACCCACTAGGGCACAGACGTCAATTCAACATCTATTCCACGTTGGTTCAACGTAATTTCATTGAAATGACGTGAAAAACAACGTTGATTCAACCAGTGTGTGCCCAATGGGTAGGCTTACATTAACCCTCGCTGTACCAAACTAAATGCCAGGCTAGAAGGAAGGAAGGGGAGATCATGTGAGAGTTGAGATAAATACAAGAGATGATTCAGGAACAACATGAACACGATTAAATTCTTATGAAGACGCAGTGATAATTAAGATGGAACCGTTAGCAGGAATAGTGTGCCTGTCACCGCTAATGCAGCATGGCTTGGAAATGCTGTTCGTCCAATCAGCATCCAGGATCCAAACAACCAGTTTTATAATTATAAAGCAGCAGCTACTCTTCCCGGGGTCCACACAAAACATGAAACATGACATAATACAGAACATTAATAGACAAGAACAGCTCACAAGGACAGAACTACATCAATTTTTTAATGGCATACGCAGCCTACATATCAATACATAGACACAAACTATCTAGGTCAAATAGGGGAGAGGCGTTGTGCTGTGAGGTGTTTCTTTATCTGTTTTTTTTTTTAAACCAGGTTTGCTGTTCATTTGAGCAATATGACATGTAAGGGAGTTCCATGCAATAATGGCTCTATACAGTGCATTCGGAAAGTATTCAGACACCTTCACTTTTTCCACATTTTGTTACGTTACAGCCTTATTCTAAAATTGATTAAATACAAAATGCCCCTCATCTATCTACACACAATACCCCATAATATCGAAGCGAAAACAGGTTTTTAGACATTTTCGCAAATGTATTAGAAATTAACCCTTCGCTATGAGACTCGAAATTGAGCTCAGGTGCATCCTGTTTCCATTGATCATCCTTGAGATGTTTCTACAACTTGATTGGAGTCCAAGAGCTGGCCGTCCGGCCAAACTGAGAAATCGGGGGAGAAGGGCCTTGGTCAGGGAGGTGACCAAGAACCCGATGGTCACTCTGACAGAGCTCCAGAGTTTCTCTGTGGATATGGGAGAACCTTCCAGAAGGACAACCATCTCTGCAGCACTCCACCAATAAGGCCTTTTTGGTAGAGTGGCCAGACGGAAGCCACTCCTCAGTAAAAGGCACATGACAGCCCACTTTGAGTTTGCCAAAAGGCACCTAAAGGACTCTCAGACCATGAGAAACAAGATTCTCTGGTCTGATGAAACCCAGATTGAACTCTTTGGCCTGAATGCCAAGCGTCACGTCTGGAGGAAACCAGGCACCGCTCATCACCTGGCCAATACCATCCCTACGGTGAAGCATGGTGGTGGCAGCATCATGCTGTGGGGATGTTTTTCAGCAGCAGGGACTGGCAGACTAGTCAGGATCAATGGAAAGATGAACGGAGCAAAGTACAGAGAGATCCTTGATGAAAACCTACTCCAGAGCGCTCAAGACCTCAGACTGGGGGGGCGAAGGTTGACCTTCGAACAGGACAACCACACTAAGCGCACAGCCAAGACAACACATGAGTGGCTTCGGGACAAGTCTCTGAATGTCCTTAAATGGCCCAGCCAGAGCCCAGACTTGAACCCGATCGAACATCTCTGGAGAGGACCTGAAAATAGCTGTGAAGCGACGCTTCACATCCAATCTGAAAGAGCTTGAGATGATCTGCAGAGAAGAATGGGAGAAACTCCCCAAATACAGGTGTGCCAAGCTTGTAGCGTCATACCCAAGAAGACTCAAGGCTGTAATCGCTGCCAAAGGTACTTCAACAAAGTACTGAGTAAAGGGTCTGAATACATATGTAAATATGATATTTCAGTTTTTTGGTTTTAATAAATATGCAATAATGTCTAAAACCTGTTTTTGCTTTGTCATTATGGAGTATTGTGTGTAGATTGATGAGGGAAAAAAACGATTTAATCAATTTTAGAATAAGGCTGTAACGTAACAAAGTGGGAAAAGTGAAGGGGTCTGAATACTTTCCGAATGCACTGTATAATACTGTATGCTTTCTTGAATTTGTTCTGGATTTGGGGACTGTGAAAAGACCCATAGTGGAATGTCTGGTGGGATAAGTGTGGGTATCAGAGCTGTGTGTAAGTTGACTTTGCAAACAATTTTGAATTTTCTTATAAAAAGAAGAAGCGATGCAGTCAGTCTCTCCTCAACTCTTAGCCAAGAGAGACTGGCATGCATAGTATTTATATCATCCCTCGGATTACAATGAAGAGCAAGACGTGCCGCTCTGTTCTGGGCCAGCTGCAGCTTAACTAGGTCTTTCCTTGCAGCACTCGACCACACGACTGGACAATAATCAAGATAAGGCTAAACTAGAGTCTGCAGGATTTGCTTTGTGGAGTGGGGTGTCAAAAAAGCAGCATCTCTTTATTACGGACAGACCTCTCCCCATCTTTACAACCATTGAATCTATATGGTTTGACCATGACAGTTTACAATCTAAGGTAACACCAAGTAATTGAGTCTCCTCAACTTGTTCAACAGCCACACCATTCATTACCAGATTCAGCTGAGGTCTAGAACTTAGGGAATGATTTGTCCCAAATACAATGCTCTTAATTTTAGAGATGTTCAGGACCAGTTTATTACTGGCCACCCATTCCAAAACAGACTGCGACTCTTTGTTAAGGGTTTCAGGTGACTTCATTAGTTGTGGTTGCTGATGTGTATATGGTTGAATCATCAGCATACATGGACACACATGCTTTGTTTAATGCCAGTGGTAGTATGTCATTGGTTTAAAAAAGAACTCGGAGTTCTATTAGACAGACTGCCATATCGTGGATTCAGAGCTGAGGTTGAAAAGCCATAACACATAACATTTTCTCAACAACAGGTTAGGGTCAATAATATCAACGGCTGCACTGAAATCTAACAGTACAGCTCCCACACTCTTTTTATTATCAATTTCTTTCAACCAATCATCAGTCATTTGTGTCAGTGCCGTACATGTTGAGTGCCCTTCTCTATAAGCATGCTGAAAGTCTGTTGTTAATTTGTTTACAGAGAAATAGCATTGTATTTGGTCAAACAGTTTGCTAAGAGCTGGCAGCAAGCTGATAGGTCTGCTGTTAGAACCAATAAAGGCCGCTTTACCACTCGTGGACAGCGGAATGATTTTGGCTTCCCTCCAGGCCTGAGGACAAAGACTTTCCTCTAGGCTCAGATTAAAGATGTGACCATCGAGTCAGCTACCGTCCTCAGTAGCTTTCCATCTAAGTTGTCCTTGCCAGGAGGTTTGTCATTATTAATTAATTATTATTAATTTTTCCCACACTAACTTTACAAAATTCAAACATTTCTTTCATTATTTGTTTTTTATGCATGAGTACAATGGCTCACTGTTCTTTGTTGGCATTTCCTGCCTAAGTTTGTCCACTTTGCCAATGAAGTAATCATTAGAATAATTGGCAACATCAAATGGT